CAGTGGGTTTGGTTTTTTATAGTATATTTAAGGAAGAAAACAACCTATATTTTATTACTATTTCCATTGCCATTGATTTATTTTTATCTTGAATTTTACTCTAGCGGTTCTAAGTAGGAATACAGAGGAGTGAGATTACCTGAATAAAAAGTATAATGATCAATAAATTCTTGTTTCTCCCACCACTAGATTTGGCAGTATTTACACCCCACCACTTTCTGCTGAGTGCATGCACACATGTGGGGTGCACAAACAGCTCCTGGGTCATCCTGTACACGGCACAGCTGCCACCAGAACACGTGGAATCTCCAGTTTTGACCGTCTTGGATTCTAGAACTATATATGTCCAGTAAGTAGAAATGTTGTCTCTTCCACACACTGGTTCATGCAAGAATCCCAGTGAGTTCAATCAGGAGAAGGGCCGTGACATAAAATTAATTTTATTGTGATTAAATGCATAGAAATGATTAGTTCAGTGGTTCTGGGAAGCTTTGATTATCACTTGCCAACTTAATTTCCATTTTGTCTTTATGCAATCAGGCTGAGCTACATATGTGCACAGATTCTGTGCAGACTGCAGTGAAGGAAAAACTGACCACTAACATGGCTGATTTGAGCCCCTAATATGTGGTGCATTGTGTGTAATGATGTGGAATTAGACAATATATACATATATAGATGCTCACTTTCTATATACCCTTGTTTTTAAGTATAAACCAGGACCTTCTTGTCCCCTTACATTCGAATTCAACAAAGAACTTTCAAATATAGGCATGTTCAGATTATTTCTGAAGTGACGGATTCTTGCCCATTTCCTAATATATGGAGGAGAAGGTGTATTGTAACATTGAATTAAACTTTCCAAGACCTCTTTTTAACCTTGGCCTCATCACCAACAGTTTTAATTTAATACGATTTAATATTGTTCATTCATTTCTTTCAGTCTCAGTTTTCTCATCTGTAAAAGGCGTTTTGACTGAATGAATTATGTCATTAATTCAAGCTGGAAAACACCGTGATTTATGACACCATTCTTCCAAGTCTAAACTCTCCTGTTGTCTTTTAGCGTGCCCCAAAGCCAAGCCCACGTTACTTATCCAACAAGACTTCCTACTACTCTATGGTCAAGTGTTCAGCTGCTCACCAAAAGGCCAGCAGTTCGAATCCATCAGCCGCTCCTTGGAAACTCTATGGGGCAGTTCTACTCTGTCCTGTAGGGTCGCTATGAGTCGGAATCTACTTGACAGCAATGGGTTTGGTTTTGGTATATATTTCTTAATGTACCAATCCCATGTCTGTACGATGCCTGTCCCGTTTATTCTCACCTGCACATTCTAATCCATTTCCCTCATCTGGAAAGCTCTCCATTCTTCTTCTGCGAATCCAAATGCAATCCATATATCCCATATATCAAGTATAAAATCTATGTATCTAGTTAATGTGTCGCCTCATTCAAGAAGTCTTACTTGACTACCTCAATTGCTCCAATACTCAACTTTACTAGATTCTGTAATTATACATATCATCTATGTTAGATTACTGGATATCTCAAGATAAGTACATTGTTTTAACTCTCTCCCATTTCACGTAATTTCTTAGAAATTCTACTTCTCCCAAATTTTGTTCTATACCTTAACTTCAAAATCAAGCACTCACTCGTGTGTGTATATGTACTATTGTTGCCGTTGTTTCTGGGTGCTGTCGAGTCTATTCTGACTCACAGCAACCCCGTATAACAGAGTAGAACTGCCCTCATAGAATTTTCTTGGCTGTAATCTTTATAGAAGAAGATTGTCAGATCTTTCTCCCGCAGAGTGGCTAGGTGGGTTCAAACTGCCAACATTTTGGTTAGCAACCAAATGCTTAACAATTGTGCCACCAGGGCTCCTTTTTGTATTGATAGATAATTAAAATTATACGTAAATAGAGGCAGGGACTGTGCCCTATTTTCTTTCTACATTCAGAGTAGGCGCTTATTAAATACTTGCTTTTTATTTATGAATCACCATTGAGCTTTTAGAGCGCTTTTTACAGAGGCACAAATCCAAGTTCTTATGTGTCCTTAAAGAAATCCTGCACATTTCAGGTTTGACTTGAATGAATGATGATGATAATGCTGTATTTCCGCATTCCCAGGTGGCAACCACCAAGGAAAGTAAATGGAATTCTGGAACGCTACGTGTTATATATTTCAAATAACACGCATGATTTTACAATTTGGGATGTCATCTATAACAGCACAGAACTTTTTCAGGATCACATGCTACAGAACCTTTTCCCTGGCAATAAATACATCGTCAAGCTGGCAGTAAGTTCACTCCTCTGTCACTTTCTCTGTCCCCATCCATCCCTCCGTCTCCCTTCTCTTTAGCCCATCTCTCCTCTCTCCCTCACTTAAAAAAGAAAAGAAAGAGAAAAAACCCTCAAATAATGATATTTACGCTGAAAACTTACTTCACATCCTAAATATAAATTATGTTGATCCGTTACCTACATATTAATTATGTATGATGCAAAATGATAGAATAACTATCTGAGTCAGTAGATTTTCCCAAATCTAATTTGGGATTATCAGGAATTCTTTCTTTTTCTTTTTTTAATTATTTTTAGAATGTCATAATTGTTGATAGCGTTTTCTAAAATGCTTGGATTAATAAGGTTATTTCCCTGTGGACCTTGCATTCATTTGAAAAAGAATGCACAGTATGGAAATTTTGATCTTATATTTCTAAATGAAGGTTTAAATGACCCCCAGATATTCTTGATTACTATTATATTCTGGTTTACATTACACTTCTATCTCAAAAAAAAAAAAAAAAGTCACTTAATAAAACCCAGAGTCAACATAGTTTAAGGGTTTCTGTAGACAGACAATAGCATTTTTAATGCAAAAAAGCACTCTTAAACCAAGGTCTTTATAAAGACCTTGATATTACTGTGGAATTTATACTCAGTAGTTCCTTTTGTTTTTGGATGAAATATAATGCTTTTTTTTAAGTTGAATAGCACATCTGAAAATAACTGAATATAAACATGAGATTGTCCCTATTTGTTTTAAACACACTCTTCATTTTATAGCAATACCTATATAAGGATATTTGCTTTGATAAATGCCATAGAAAATATTCTGCTCTTGATTATGAATAAATTTACATTTATGTAGACACTGTGTATGCATTCATTTTACTTAACATGCTCTTGAATGCTCTAAATATTATACCACGAGAAAATAAGCTACGTTCAAGTACTGTTAACTGTCTGACTTGAAGCCACAAAACAAGGGCAATCAGACCACGTGAGAGAGAAATCCTACTCGAAACTGATTCCAGGTGCCTAGGTGTTCAGCACAGCATATAAATTTATGAAACGGCATTTTTGATTATTTACCATTTTATTACCCGAGAAGTAAAAAGTATATTAACATGATTTTCAGAAGTGAATGCAGAAATCCTCACTATTTTCAAAACAGTAGTAATATCGAAAGCAAGGAAAGTCTCAATCAGTGGGAAACAGCCAAAATTAAACAGAAATTATTGTGTTCGTGGTTTTTGTCAGGAGGAGGCAAATGGTAAGAAACAAAGTCCTACTCCCAAGGCAATTTTTCGGGTGTGCTAGGCAGTCAATCAAAACTTACCTCAATCTCCTGTATTTTTATAAGTCTGTAATACTTTGAAAAATAAACCCCTCCAGACCAGGAGTCTGCTCCCCTCGGCTTCATTTCAGATTTCGCCACGAACTGTGTGACCTGAGGCAAATTCACTTAACCACACTGAGTTTTATTTTCTTCCAGCCTCAAATTAGCACATTGAACTAAATAATTTTTAATGTCTCTTTGAGCCCTAAAATTCTGATACTGAAAAGGTGACCCCCCCCCCACCCCTGACAGTATTCTGTGGAGTCAAACGAGATCTGTCACCACCGAATAATGTTGCTGCAGGATGTCATGAAAATGTGAAAGTCTTTGCCTTAACTCTCGCTGGAGAAATTAACTTGCACACAATTATTTGCAACTTCACTCCATTTATGAGGGCAGAAAATACACTCGTATGTCTTCAGGAAGTATTTAACTAGAAGGTTCTTTTTTTTTTTGCTTAACTCTGTTAACCAGTAAATTAAATGAACCAGAACATTTTAAGTTCATCCTGGTTAATTGAGGAATTATTGTATATTTCACAGTTTCAATATAATAACTAGCTTTCAAGGTCATTCGATTAGTAGATGGAGGTCAGGTTCTCAGCCAGGCAGGGCTGCTTTTATAGATCGTTTTAGCATGTTGACTGAGTGCTGGAAAAACAAAACCTGCAGATAACAAAGCCTTGAAGCGCCTTTGGAATACAGGAAGAAACGTGGGGATTTGAACCACTATGATTTAATCCAGGCTTGTGATAGGTATGTTATTCATTTGACATCATTTAATTTTCCCAAATTAACTGGATTATAAACTCCTGAATGGCAAAGACTGCATCTTGCAAATCTCCTAGGCCATCCATAGTCCCTGACAGAAACTGGAAGCTCTGCAAACAATTGTTGAATGAATCAACAAACATCAGATTGAATTCGCCAGCTGCTCCTTGGAAACCCTATGGGGCAGTTCTGCTCTGTCCTATAGGGTCGCTATGAGTTGGAGCTGACTCTATGGCAATGTTTTTGGTTTGTTTTTTTGTTTTTTGTAAGTCCATTGATTTCATAAGGAATCTGAGACTTCTGATATGGATTAAATAATTTACTGGGAAGTGTCAGAGTTGGGGACTGTGTGTGGTTCCAAAGTAAATGTTGTTTCTACAGAGTAGCCTGTTGCTGCACTCAGCAAAGGATATGCTGAAGTTTAGGAGCTACTAACAAAGTATCTGCAACAATGGGCTTAAACCTACCACCCGTGGTAAGGACAGCACAGGACTGCGTGAAGTGTTCTGTTACACATAAGGTCGCCGTGAGTCAGAACTGACTTGACTGCAGCTAACAATAATCACAATAAAAATAATAAATTAGCAATTAAATAAAGAGCTATTCGTACAGACAGCTGTCAGTATAGGTATGGTATTACAATTTTTATATCACTGCTGGACCTTTGCCATCTGATGAACTTTAGGTATCACATATATTCCCTGGAAAAATTCTTGGAAATGACGAGCTTAACTTTTCAAAAGATCATGTATGGATAAAGTAGCTTCGTTATTTTCCTTCATGCTTTAAAATACGCTGTATTCTCAACAACCTGGTCCCTGTTTATCTGAAAACAAACTATTGGAAAAGAGAATGCTAGTTTGGGAGATTCCAGATGGTTTCAAAAGCAGTAGATACAGTTTTATTAGCTATGCTTTTCATTGTATCAAACTCAAATCCCCTATTTGGTCAGAAGTTACCATTTCACATAGTATTATGACTTTGCCTGTGAATTTGTTTGTAAGTGGCTGTAATTGCTGAAAGCTATAGAGCTAGGTTGGAACATCTTATTTTAATGACTCAGAGGCTTTCAAAGACTTTGCAGTTTAGTAAAGCCATCTTTGATCAATCCCACTATTATTTTGTTGAGTTTTTCCAAACCAGAATTTTAATCAGCGTTCGGCTGCCTTGCATGCAGTGGCCTCTGGTGCTGGCAGGTCAAACTAGATACTGATTGGTTCAGTTCGATTTGGATGATATTGGTGAGATCAGAGCAATCGGAAACAACTTAAAGAACATTTATTTCTTCACTGAAGACACTAAGATACCATGCTGTTCACTTAGCCACTTGAAATGTACACAGAAAGAACGTGCACAGGTCAAAAGGAAATATTTATGTAGGAAATTCTGTTATTTCAGAATTTATAAATTCTGTTTCATTTACAAGAAAAGTTGTCTCACAAACTCCTTGGATTTTTAAGATGCCTCTTCGTCAAGTGACTAGTTTACTGTCTCTGATGACGCTGCTCGATAAAGTGTCTTTCCAAACCAGAGGATGTCTTCGTTAATCCAGAAGGCAGCAGAAACTTCTCAAAACAAAGAACATTTCAATTCACTTTCTTTACAAAAATATGTGATTATATATTTCTTTGGGGAGAGATAGCAAGGGAAATTACTTAGGATGTGAATGAGAAAAAAAAAATACTGGCAAATAAACTATCAGAAGTAAATCCTAGCGTGCCGTGAATTTAACAGCAAGACGCTGCAGCAAGCTTTTCCCTAAGACAAAACAAAATCTAGAAAATGCAAGTGGATGGGTTTTATCTCTTTGTGATGACTAGAAAGAATGCTCTTGTGACCATTTTTCCTTTGATAATTTAGTAGTTCTACGTGACCTACGTGCTGGGTTTTCTGATGAACTTTTAGCACTTTTGAAATGTTTTGTTTTGTTTTTTTAATTTTTGTATTTTAATCATCAGGTAGTTATTTCTCAGGCTACCAGAGGGCATGTCCCGGAGCTCTGAGTCAGGGCCACACGCTTAATTGATTCTTGTGTATTTGCAGAGATTCCATTCTCAGGAGGAGCCTGGTTTTCTCCTAGATATATATGCGTATGCCACAGCCAAGAATTAGAGGAAGCCCACAGAGGTTAATTAGGTCCCCAATCTTAAGGCAATTGAATGCATAGGCGACAATTTAACCCGTCTACTGAAGCTGTTGAGCTGTTATCCCAAAGACGCACGCCACTGCTGCATTCTTAAAATAGAAAGTGAGATTGATCCCCACTGTTATTGACCACTGATTGGGTTGTTTATACTTATAATGGAGAATTTGCAATTCTTTGCAACAACATTGCAAAATAGTATAGTACTTCAATATGTATTTTTAAAAAATCTATTAAAAAACCACTCAACCTTCCATCTTTGGGAAAAAGAAAAATCTACTGCTTTAAGTATCATTTTCGCAATGTCAGACTTAAAAGCAGTGGCTGAGCCCTGAGCAATACTTTTTTTAATCATTTTTTAATTGCTGTATTAGTCATTATCTTCCATGAAAAGGGACTAAATAACTGTCTGCTTTTTACATTGTCCTATGATTTTGCTTAATTTTCCTATTGATTTTGATAAAATTGAGAGCTCTTTGAAAGATTTTTAAATTTCATTGTGTGAATTAAAGCTGTAACCTAAGGAAATGCTGAACAAAGCTTAAGTCCGGTTTTCAAATATCATTGTTCTATGAGGGTATAATTGCAATATTTACCGGCGCATCTAGGCTGGAAAACCCTTGTGCGTACGTCTCTGTTTCCTGGAGAGATGCTTATCCGACAGGTTACATAGCGACATACTTTCCTAATACTCTTAACCATTTTTTTCAGTTTGTGCTGGACATGCACTTGCAGAGGTTACTGAGTATCTTTAACATTCATGTTGCCCTTATTGGCATTAGCGATACTATATTAGGAAGCAGGGGGTTTCTGTGATGGTCTTGAGTTTTTCAGTCATGTGGGAAGCCCATCTCCTCTGGCAGCTAAGTAAATGACTTGGCTGTTTTAGCCATTGAGCAGTCACTCAACAACTGCTTTGTATTGACTGATTTATGAGAAATATTGTTTTGTTCAATTTCACCTTGTGTTATATTCTTAATATATTTGTCACATCATAGAATAAAAGTACAATTATGGTTGCTATACATAAATATACATTTTTTTTTTCCCTAGAAATCATTTGTTTTATCTTGAAGTAATCTTCATCGTGTCCCTAGAACTTTTCTCATGGGGTGGACTGTGTGTGTGTGTGTGAGTGTGTGTGAGCGTGGGTGTGTAAATGAGTGTGTGTGTGTGTATGTGAGTATGTGTGAGTGTGAGTGTGTGTGTGAGTGTGTGTGTGAGTTTAATTGACTATGAGAACCTCTGAGTAAGGCTAATTTCAGCAGGACTATTCACCCAGTCAATGTATGCCCTGCACCTCTGGGCTGCAATTTAGGATACATTTATAATTCATACATTCATACATCCTGGATTATTTCCTAATTATTATTGGAGTTGTTGGTCTCATGCCCTAAAAAGCAAGTGAATTTAATGTCAAACCCAGCATTGAAATAAAATTTACTTGGTGGGAGGGCGGGAGGTGTTAAGAGGAGCGTTATCTGAATTCTCCTTATGAATTCCCTTCTTCAATGTCCCTGTAAACTTTTGGGACCCAGAGTGACACGTGGTTTTTGCATCTCTGTGTAGGCCTGCACGGCGGGTGGGTGCACGGTGAGTGAGGCCAGCGAGGCCTACACTGATGAGAGTGTTCCAGAAGGAGTCCCAGCCCCCCGAGCGCGCTCATATTCACCTGACTCCTTTAACATCTCCTGGACTGAGCCTGAATATCCCAACGGTAAGTGCACTCTTTTAGCCTCATGTTAAAAAGATGATTAGTAAAGGTAAATTAATATTCTAAATGGCAGCTTATAGGTGGTGCTTAATTTTTAATGATCATTTTAGCACATAAAATACCTGAGATAGTATCATTGTCTGTAGTTGGGAGATTGTGGTTTTTAGGTTAATACACAATTTTGGTGGCTCAAAAGTGCTCCCTTTTGATAGTTCTTGTGTACTGCATCTTGCTGTGGAGTGTGCTTCAGGAAAGGCGAGGACAAATGTGAACTCCCAAGGAGTGCTCTGTGAGAGTGACGTTGTACTTTCAATGACTTCTGCTTTTCACAGCCGTTAGTTCTTTCTTGAAGAAGTAGATACGAGGTGGAAAGTTCATGGACCCGCTGTATTTCACAAGCTTTCAATTTCATAAATTTATCTTAAAAGAGGTCACTGGAACTCTATTTTTTAATACACTATGAGCATTTCGACGTGCAGTTTTTCAACAACACTTACCTAACTGAAGTGGATTATGTGTCTTTCTAAGTGTCTTTGTACAGTTTAGAGAATTACGCTAGCCAGTTAAACTTTTCTATCAGAAAAGTTTGTTATACAGTATTTATAATGATTTTAGGTAGAAATGGATTTATTCACTTATAGGGAATATCCTTAAGATTCATACAACACAGGGTCATTGTTCCACGCTGATAGAGGATTATGTGAAGCCAAATTTTGTTCCTCTTTGCGACAAATATCAAGACTTCTAGTATCATGAAACTATTTTAAGTAATTCGTTACTGAGAACTGAAATAGCTTCTTTGAGCATAGCCAACAAGAATGAAAAAAAAAACTGTGGTTTTATTAGTTTGTCTGATGTTTACTATGGTATTAATTATTCCAGTCATCTCATTTTAATTAAACTTTTGGCAAATGTGATAGATATATTTGAGGTAATAGAGGGAGCTCTAATAATTAGAGTGAATGATTATCTCTGCTACTGAAGTTATCCTTGTGCTATTACAAATTTCTTAATAAAAAATAAATGGATGTCTATTTGATACTTATATTAAGCAGTCAAAAATCCTGTCATACTTCTTACTCTACAAAGAAATCTAGTCCATAGCAGACAATGAAAATGCAAATAATTTATTCCAGTTGGATTGCTGTTAAATGCCATTCCGTGATTTGTGCAGTAGAACACTTTCCTTCAACCCAGTTGGTAGTTGCAACTGGGACTAGAACTGATTTAGAATCCGAGATTGACTAGAGAAATTCTTTCCACCTTTCAAAGAATCTTTGCTTATTATGATTTGTGCACTTAAAAGCAGTGTTAAAATATATTCATTGAGCAAGAAGAATCAGAGAGATTTTGGAGATTTATGGAACGTTTCCATTATATTCCAAACCTTGTGTTTAATCAAAGCAGAATTGTGTGTGTGTGTGTGTGTATACAATGGTTAGATATTTAAAAAATACTAGCTTTAATTAAAAAAAAGAAAAAAAAAAAAGTCTACTTCTCTCCACTGCTTCTCCTCTACTTTCCAGAAATTTTCCATTGTTTGGTTTCAATTGTCTGCTCTCTGGCAAAGGATAATCTACATATTGGAAAATGTTTTGTATCTCTGTCCATTTTCAAAGCTTCTACCTCTCCCCACAAACACTTAAAGAATAAAGTCCAAATTCTTCCATCTGTCATTCAAGTCACTCCCAACTCATATAACCCATTTACACAGCCCTGTACCACACCTTCCTTCTAGTCACCCTTGCATATTTACAGCATTAATGGAGGGTGAAAGACATGAGAGTGGAGTCGAACAGCCCTAGAATCAAATCTTGTCTCTGACATGTGTATATATAACTATATTACTTTGGAAACTTTATTAAACTCCACACACTCCGGTTTCCTCAATTGTGAAATCAGGGTTAATAATCCCTCTCTTCTCCCCATCTGTACCTGTAGAAATCCAACTCATCCCTCAAGGTTGAGTGTAGACCTCTTATCCCATAAAATTGTTCCACTCTTCCTTGAGTTTAGGTCAAGTTTTCCTTCTCTTAACCATGCAGCCTGTCTCTATGGCTTCATAATAGCACTTGCTTCCTTCAGCTGGGACTCAAACCATCCAACATTTGTGCCAGATGGTAAGGACCATGAATCATTTATTTTTCCTTCCTATCCCAGAGCCTAACACAATGTTGTACTCTTGGTTAGTACTGAATAATATTTACTTCATGTAATTATTTCTAGTGAAAAATTGCATTTGATCCATGCTATGAAGACTATAGAGCACTGACTCTCTGATGATACCAACCAGGAAGCTAACAGTAGTTACTCCCAAATTTCTGAAATACATGTGTTCAGCTGTGGCTGTGGGGGTGCTGGTTCTGGGTTTTCAGTTGAGAGTTTGGATCCTGCAATTGTTTAGGAATCTTTAATATTCTTTCCCAGAATACGCCCAGTTCAATGCCGAGTTCCATTTAATGAAACCAGATCCAGATTACACTCTGTGTTTTTTTATTTTTTGAATATTCTGCAGAAGAACAATGCACTTAGAGAATACAATGGGTTTCATCCGTATGTTACTAAAGAAACCCTTTCAAGTGGTTTAAAATGATGTTACCTAAGCATATCTGATCTCTAGGACCATCTTGAGGGCACTGATTGGAGAAGTAGATTCTAGAGCTTCACCCTAGATCTTCTAAATCAGAATGGCTCACTGCTTTTGTTATCACAAAAATGCTGAATTTATTCATGCCCCTTTGTTTTTGATCACCTCCTAAGTATCAGCCACTGTTCCATATGCAGGAGAAACCAAGATGAATGAAGACCAATCCTTGATCTCAAGGGTCTCAGAGTCCCCTTGGGGAAAAGCCATGTAAACAAATAATCACAAAGTAGAGGTGTGCCCAGGGGGCCAAGTGCCCGGAGGACAGGTTCCCTGAGGACAGCTCCAGGTATTTGGGAGTGCGGGTCATCGGTCGTATGTGCCTTCATTGAGATGTAGCTGGTCGGGGACATGTAAGCATTCAGACTGTGGTCACTATGAGTTGGAATCGACTCAATGGCAATTGGTTTGGTTTTTTGATTTTCTTCTACAGCAGGTGCTGCTTGCCTGGTTTTGCACACCTTAGGCTCCAAAATGTGGCTCTATTAGTCAGTTGGACCTAAACCTAAATGGATTATTTCACTAGGAATTTATAAACATTAAAAAAAAAGTCAAGAAAAATTGCATCTACTTTCCGTAATAATGATTGTGTATATTTTCCAATACATGCCTAGATGTGATAAAATATGAAAGGTATAAAAAGGTTCCGATACAAATTTCCAGTTCTTGCCCATTAAGCAATTGGTACTCTTTAACCAGAGTCTCTGGGTGGTACAAACAATTAACTCCACTATTAACGGAAAGGTTAGAAGTTTGAGTCCACCCAGAGAAACCTCAGAAGAAAGGCCTGGAGATCTACTTCTGAAAAAACAGCCATTGAAAACTCTGTGGAGAGGACATTTCTACTCAGACACACATGGGGCTGCCATGAGCAGGAGGTGACTCTAGGGCAACTGGTTGGTTTAATCTTTAACCAGTGTGGCTCAGGAAGCAGGCTCTGTGCTTTTGGATAATCCTTAACAAGGGGGCCTTTCTGGCATTGGTTGTCTTCTCTGTCTCCCAGCCTGCTCCTGCCCACCGGGTCTGCTTCGTAGGCATAGGGAATTTTTCCTGCTTTGGTCTCCTTTGTTCAATGCTGTACCAGCAGCTTCTAGAATAGTGCCTGACACGGAATAGGTGCTCAATGAGAAAACTGCTGACTAATAATCATATAAAATCATATAAAAATATATGTTAATTAAAAAAGAATAAGATCACACGATTAGTACTGCTGTAGCAACTTGCATTTTTCATTTAGCAATATGACGGAGACATCTTCCAATGGCAGTGAATGTAGCCCAAGCTCGTTCTTTCTTAATGGAGATATAGAATCCCACTGGATGAAACCACACTTTATATGACCCGTCTTTTATTGATGGACATTTAAGTTTCCATGATTTTGCTATTACAAATAATGCTGCTTGCTATTAATTGCCTTAGTCTGCCAAGTTCACTCTTTACGCACTGAGTCATTATCACTTGATTTACACCTACGGCTTTGCTTTCCTTCAGATATGCCCCGATGAATTCCAGAGGTTTGCTTCATGTACCTCCAAAACTAGCGTGACACTGCAACTTAGTGTTTCTCTAATGGGGGCCCTTTGAGCCCTGTTCCCTCTGGCGAAGGTGTTCTTTGCAGGCTGTGGTTTCAGGCCAGATTTTAAAAGCTCTTCATGTGAAAAAAGCTATTTTTTGGGCCAGGGCGGATAAGGACCCTACATTGTGTCGAACTTTGACTCCTTTGTAACACCATTAGCCATCACAAAGGATTACTGCATAATAAATCTGTGACCTGTATTGTGGGGATTACAGCTGCATAATTAGAATTACACTTTAGGAGCTTTTAAAGTCTCATGGACCGTATTTCCTCTCCTTTTCAGAAGCTCAGGTCTTAGAATTTTGAAATACATTTTGTTCCTCACACTTGCTAAAATCAGCCTAGATACCTGAGTGTGCCAAACCTATCCCTCCTTACGGGCCATAACATTTTTAGTGGTATTCTAAACTTAATAGAACACATATTTTAAAAGATACTAACTAAAATATAGAATATGGAATTCTTTCCCTTTATTAATACTTACAATTACTTGTCACTACCTCCATCTCTAGGTAACTTCACCCCAAATAGATTCCCTGTTAGACTGTGAGATGCACAAGGGCAGAGATCGTTTGAGCCTCGTTCACTGCTCTTGTCCCGGCACCTAGCACGGTGACAGTCACAAAGTAGATGGGCATTAAATAACTGTTGGATGAACTAATGTTTACTGTTGACAGGCACCCTGGTGGTGCAGTGGTTAAGTTCTCAGCTGCTAACCAAAAGGTTGATTGTCTGAACCTACCAGCTTCTCCATGGGAGAAAGATGTGGCAGTCTGGTTCCAT